AACTGCCTGAAAACTCTAGCTCCAGAGGATATTGTGCCCTCTTCTGGCCTCTGTGGGCACTGCACTCATATACACATACCCACACCTGGACACATAATATATACATAATTGAAAATAAAAAATAAAACTTAAATAAGTTTTTAAGTGCAGGTAGGTTCATGTAACCATGTGCACAGAGACTAGAGGACAACTTGGGGACTTTGGGTCATCTTCTGGAATACTGCCTACCGCCTTTGAAACAGGATGTCTCATGGGCCTGGGGCTTACCGTTTAGATTAGCTAAACTCACTGCCTGGTCAGTGAGTATCAGAGACTGTAAGGCTGTCTCCCCAGCGCTGGGGTTACAAGCGTGTGCCTCCATGCCTGGCTTTTTCTGTAGGTCCTGGATATTGAACCACATCCCCAGGCCAGCACAGCACGGTTGTAGCCAGGTGGCTCCTGCAGAGTTAGAGTAATAGCCCCAGGTTCTATGACAGCCTTGGAGAGAAACCTTGGTTCCTTGACCTGCCGGTGGGGAGGGAAGGCAGGAAGCAGTCAGAAGAAGGAGGCTGTGCTTCTGAGGCCTAGCCAATTCCCTTTCTGTGCAGTCACCAACATGCTGTGTGTTATCCTTGGCGACTTTGTTGTCTGCGCGTCAGCGCACAATGGGCAGCAGCTCCCTCTCCACTCAGCCCCACACCATGTAGAGCGCTAACTCCCCAAGGTCCAAAGCCTAGCAAGTGTGTCTGGCGCCATTACTGATACCATCTACAGAGCTCACATGGGAGAACCCTGCAGTCAGGTTACAAAAGAGGATTATGTCAGGTCTTATTCTCCCTGGGGTGCAAATGGCCCTCAGGACACAGGTCGGACACACGTGGAAGACCTGCGAAAATGTAAGCCATTTGACCTGTGGAGCCTCTTGAGCGTGTGACCGTGGAGTTTAAGATATCAGTGTTAGCGGACACGAGGCTGCACACCTCTCATTCCAGCCTCAGGAGGCTGAGGCCAGAGGATTGTTATATGGCAAGTTTGGGCTGCTGCACAAGGAGACCCTGTCTCAGGAAACCAAACTAGCAAAAATAAAAACAAATCCTGAAACGGCAACAGAAAACTTAGCATTGACCTGCTCATCTCTGATTCCAATGGCATTTACGGACCATGTACTGATATTTGAGAAATTTATATTAAGAACCAGCAGTAGGACTGGCAAGATGTCCCAGCAGGTAAAGACCTGCCACCAGGTCCTGTGATCTGAGTCCCGCCTCACAATCTGTGTAGTGGAAGGAGAGAACTGACTTCCACAAATTGTTTTTTGATATCCACACTTGCACTGTGGCACACATACGCACAAGCACACATACACACACACTAAAGAAATGCAATATAAGAATTAAAAATAAATAACAAAACCCAGCAGGATTTCAGGAAATGTGGAAGATGAAATCAGACATAATTTGAGCGACGATTTGAAGCTGGTACCCGCTTTCTTTGTCGGTGGCCCTGTCTTTTGTCATTGAACCGTCCCCACCCCACACCCCGGCACTAATCAGGACACGCAGGATCTGATAGCCTGGCGCAGGCTTATTGATGCTTTTGGTGCCATTTCATCAAAAGCTGGCATTCATGGGGGAGCCTGGGATGTGGTTTCACCCGGGATCCCCAGGGAAGCGGTCCACACTGATGGTAGGGTGCAGCTCTGCTTGCCGTGGAACATTTTCCATTCCACAAATCAATGTAATTTGTAGTTATGCTGTATTTGAACCTGACTTTAAGCTTGTGGTAACTTTATCTTTGACTTGTGGGACATATGACCCTGCAGAAACCACTGAAATTCAGAAGATGGAATTTGAAAACATTTCTCTGAAATAATTTACTAAGAGCTTTTGAGTTCCTCCAAGGTGTATGGAATCAAGTTTGTCAGGGCAGTTAGACACCACCCTGCAAAAGCTGTTTTTTCTTCCTTCCCCAAGAGGCTTAGCCTCTAAACCACAGAGGGCCCTGGCTTGCCCTGTTGTCTCAGTCTGCTCCCCCCTCATTCTGTGGCATGTGAGAAGCCCCGTTCATTCTCCTTGAATGGCCGGTGCTCTGCACTTGAGAATTGTTAAGCAATGTTTGCTCTCATGGACATCCAGTCCCGGGTTTAGTTCAGTCCTGCTCCGTTACACACACACTGTCCTAAGGAATACTTTGCTCCTTCTTCCAAGACCTCAGACCAGACCGGTTGGCCCTCTCAGCTGGTTTCCGTCTTGTTTACAAACTATGCCGTTTTCTAAGGCTCCCGTCCATCTGCGTGCCAGCTCCTTTCCCTTACTGCGGTCATTTCTGTGATCTCCATATTAATACCACCCAGCCTTGTGCATCCTTTCTAGGGCTGGGGTGGTGGGCAGTGGGCACGGAGTGAATAGAAGAATTCTTTTTCTTTCTGGAAGAATTGGTTGTAGGGGATTACATTGGTAGTTGAAAGCCGATTCATCTCTGTGAAGGCCTTGCACTTTGTGTGTTGATCTGATACCTAAATCTAGGAAGCCATTCTCTACCAGGGAGCCTGTATTTCCCACAGCATGTACCACCCAAACGTGGCATGTACCACCCACGCATGGCTGAAAACGGAGAGTAGGAGGTCCAGGAGACTGTTCAGCTTGGACAGGCCTTCCTTTTGCTAAATCCTAGGGTCTTGTCTCTTTTAAATTTGTTTTAAACCTTTTTTTCCCTCTCTCTTTTTGAGACGGTCTCATATAGCCCAGGTTGGCCCAGGTCTAGCTAAGTTTGAACTCCGGATCCTCCTGCCCCCACTTCCTAAGTTCTGAAATTACAGGGATATACCACTAAACATGGCTACTTTTCTTCTTCTAAGTGTGTGTATGTGTGGTGTGAGTGCATGTGCATATTCCTGTTCATGTGTGTGTGTGGGTGCATATCTGTGTGGGTGAGTGTGGACACCCAAAGTTGATGTCAGACTTCTTCCTCACTTGACTTCAACTTTAGCTGTTGAGGTAGGGTCTTGTGCTGAACCCAGAGCTCCCCAGTGGCTAGCTAGCCAGCTGCCCCAGCCCCACCCTCAGCCCCTGAGTCTGACTCTGGAATGCTGGAATTACAGGCAGCTGCAATGCCTGCCTTTTTTACATGGGTTCCGGGATCTGAACTCTGGTCCTCACACTTGTAGAGCAAGTCTCTTTCCACTGAGATATCCCTCCAGTCCTTACTTCTCTTCTCTTCTCTTCTCTTCTCTTCTCTTCTCTTCTCTTCTCTTCTCTTCTCTTCTCTCTCTCTCTCTCTCTCTCTCTCTCTCTCTCTCTCTCTCTCTCTTTCTTTTACTTCTTCCTTCCTTCCTTCCTTTCTTTTGAAACAAAGTCTCTGTTATGTAGCTCTGGCTGTTCTAGAACTTACTCTGTAGACCAGCCTGGCCTCAGCTCACAGAGATCCACCTGCCTCTGCCTCAGAAGTGCTGGGATTAAAGACATGCATTCATCAGTACACCTAGATTAAAAAAAAGAAGCACACAGTTTTAAAAATTTGTATCTGTTTGTTTGAGACAGGGTCTCTTTCTTAGTTAGAGTTTCTATTTCTGTGAAGAGACACCATGACCACAGAAACTCTTATAAAGGACAACATTTAACTGGGGTGGCTTACAGTTCAGAGGTTCAGTCCATTATCATCAAGGTGGGACATGGCAGTGTGCAGGCAGACATGGTGCTGGAGAAGGAGCTGAGAGTTCTACATCTTGATCTGCAGTCAACAGGAGGTGAACTGAGTACCCTGAGTGCTTTGATCAAAGAAGACCTCAACCCCACCCCCCCACCCCCCCCACCCCGTGACACACTTCCTTCAATAAGGCCACACCCACTCCAAAAAGCCACACCTCCTAATAGTACCACTCCCTATGAACTATGGGGGCCAATTATATTCAGACTACCCCAGTCTCCCTGAATATCCCAGGTCAGATTTAAATTCATTATCCTCCTACCTCAGTCTCCTAAAAGCTGTGATTATAGATCTTGGTCCTCCTGCTTGGCCTAAAGAAAATGGCTTTTAAAAATTAACTTAATTTTTTTTTTTTGTTTTTTGAGACAGGGTTTCTCTGTGTAACAACAGTCCTGGCTATTCTGGAACTCACAGAGATCAGCCTGCCTCTGCCTCCTGAGTGTTGGGATTAAAGGTGTGTGCCACCATGCCTGGCTTAATTTTATTTTTTGTGTATGAGTGATTTGCCTGCGTGCTTGTCTGTGTATTGCTTGCGTGCCTGGTGCCCACACAAGTCAGAAGACGGTGTCTGATCCCCTGGAAATGGAGTTACAGACTGTTGTGAGCGGCCATGTTGGTGCTGGGAATCCAATTCAAGTGGGCTCTTGCCCCAGAGGAGCATAGTACAGTCCAGTTGCAGAAGCAGAACCTGCCTAGAGTAAGAAGCAATTAGGGCCCAGGAGGCAGTCATGTGCCATCAGGACTGGTTGTGTGTAGGTGGCCCTGGGAAGTAGGGTGGGCCTGAAGAGAATGCTGGATGCCATAGGTGTTTTCACATGATCCTAAGTCTTACTAAAGGCATCCTTCCCAAAGCCACCTGGTTACCTGCAACCTGGAATCTGTCAACACTGGGCTAGGAAGTAGATGTGAGACTCCACAGCACCTCAAATATTAGGGAGCTGTTAGATGTTTATAGGCTTGTGGGACATTGTAGCTGGACCCCTCCCTCCTGGTAAACAGTTGGAAGAATGGGCCTGAGTCCTATCTCTGGCCCTGGAAGGCCATACTAGATAACTACCTAAACCCGGTTCCAGGATTCCAAACCCCTTGGATTACTGCCTAGCAGGACTGGCTGGCTTTCCTTTCTTCCTTCCTTTCTTTCTTTCTCTCTCTCTTTCCCTCTCTCCCTCCTTCCTTTCTTTATTTCTCTCTCCCTCCCTCCCTCCCTCCCTCCCTCCCTCCCTCCCTCCCTCCCTCATTCCCTCACTTCCTCCTCCTTTCTTGACAGGGTCTAATGTATTCCAGAATGGCCTGATGCCTCCATCTACTGAGGTCTGGGATTGAAGAAGGCTACCTAGGAGGCTCTGAGAACTGAGCGCTACAAGGTACTTCAAATGTGCCTGTCAGTCACCTGGACAGGACAGTGCCTCAGGAAAAGCTGCTGGTTCTGGGGCAGGTGAGGTGGCTCATCAGGTGTGTTTGCTGTGCAAGCCTGTCGACCTGAATTCAATCCCTGACACCCACGTAAGGTGGAAGGAGAGAACTGACTCCAGAAAGTAGTCCTCTGACTTCCACACCAGCTCCCTCCCCACCCCCATAATAATAAAAGATACGTTTTTGAAAACTGTTCTAGAGAGTTCAGAATAAGCTAGGTGTAGTGGTGCACACCTGTAATCCCAGTACTGGGGAAGCAGAGGCAGGAGGATCACTGCAAGTTCAAGCCAGGCCTACTTAGCAAGACCATTTCAAAATAAAATATTTTTAAACAAGGAAAAAGACTCCAGTAAGGCCTGCAGAGGTGGGGCATGGTCCCCTGGGCCGCTGTCAGCTCGTGCTTGTCCAGTGTGCGCTGTCCAAGAGCTTCCGCTTGTCTGGGTTCCTTTTCATTTTTAAGGTATTTATCTCCCATGTATGTATGCGTGTGAGCACGCATGTGCCTCAGCCTTGAGTCATTGTGTAGCCCTTGATGGTGGGATTACCAGTGTGTGCCATCATGTTGGGCTCTCAGCTGAATGATGTCAAGGGAGATCTTGGGACCCTGGGGACTAGAGATCCCAGTGATGAGAGCAGATGGCCATCTGGCTCCGTCACTCCCAGGAAGTACTACAGGGCAGGAACAGCTTTTCTCTGGCAGGAGGAAATGTTTACAGATAACTTACACTGTTGGGATATGCATCACAAGAAAGAGAAGCAGGCAACATCTAGTCACGCCCTCTAGACGTGACTATGGGGACAGTCTGTGTAACAGGTGACAGCTAGCCTGTGACAATGTCCAGCCACATGTGGTATTGACTTTTGGTCATCTTTCCTAAGCTGTATGTATGAGCCTGTCTGGTGAGGAGCCTTCCTGGCAGAAGGCCAGAATGATGGAGTCTGTCAGATGATGGAGTCGGTCAGAACACTCCTGCTTTCATGGAAAAGGCCTAGTCCTGAAACTCCTTTAGGTCAAACAAAGAGCTGGGCTTTGGGGGTAATTTTTTCTTTAAGTGTGTGTGTGTGTGTGTGTGTGTGTGTGTGTGTGTGTTGCATACAGTGCTCTTAGAGGCTTCAAGAGGACTTGGAGTCCCCTGGAACTGGAATTACAGGGGTTTTGAGCTGCCAGATGTGTGCTGGGAACAGCAGTCAGGGTCTTTCACAGGGGCAGCTGGTGTTCTAACAGCAGAGTCTTCTCTCCTGCCCCTTTGCCTTTGAGACAGGATCTCATGTAGCCCAGGCTGGCCTCAAACCCTTTGTATAGCTTCGAGTGACCTTGAACTTCTGATTCTCCTGGTTCCACCTCCTGGGTATTGGGATTACAGACCTGCACCACTAGGGTTTGTGGGGATCGAACCCAGGGATTCATGCATGCAGGGCAATCACCCTACCAACCAAGTCACACCCTAGCCCCGACCCATCAGTGTTTTGAGTCACAACACTAGTAACTGTTTGTATAGAGTTCTTACACACTTGGTTCTGATGGGGTCCAAGTCCTCAAAACTTCATAGCAGCATGTTGGAGAAGGTGGTGGTGGTGTACTGCCATGGCCCCTGGTGTAGCCAGGGGTGAATTAGAACCTAAAAGTGTGGACAGACCCTCTCTCTCGCTTCTCCCCATCTTTTCATTCCCCATCTTCTCCCAGACTTAAAGAAAGCAGAGAGAAATATATGGGGTCAATTTTAGAAGAAAAGTTAAGATACTGTTTTGGGGAAGGAGAGATGGCTCAGAGGTTAAGAGCACTGGCTGCTCTTGCAGAGGACCCGGGTTTGATGTTTGTCTCTGTAGCCCCAGTTCTAGGGTGCCCAGTGCCGCCTTCTGGCCTCTGCAGGCACCAGGCGTACATCTGGTGTACATACATTACATGCGGGTAAAACATCCACACATAAAATCAAAATAAATGAGTCTTTTGAAAAGATACTGGTTCACCGGGTGGTGGTGGTGCACGCCTTTAATCCCAGCACTCGGGAGGCAGAGGCAGGCGGATCTCTGTGAGTTCGAGGCCATCCTGGTCTACAGAGTGAGTTCCAGGATAGGCTCCAAAAGCTACACAGAGAAACCCTGTCTCGAACCCGCCCCCCCCCCCAAAAAGAAAAGAGGTTTGTGGAAACATTTAAAGAGCTTGAGGGCAGGACTGAAAGGGTAGTACAAAGTTCTGGAGCCTGGGACTCCTGCATTTGTGAGTGGTGCCCTTGGCTTTTGATATGTTTTGTGTTGTCGTGAGTTGCTGGGTGGCTCCTGGCATTCTGGGGTTGGAGGGTTATTTTGAGGATCTGAACTCCCTTCTTGATAAGGGTTAAGTGACTTGGGGAACTGCTGGATCCTCCAGAGGCCCAGACTGGTACCTCCTTGATGCGAAGGCCCTGGAAACTGGACTGCACCTGCCTGGCCCACCTTCCTGCTGCCCCCCCACCCCAGGACATGCTGCCTTTGGGCAGATGCCCACACTACTTATCGCCTTTGCCATCCCCCAAACTCCCTCCTCCTGTGTCTACTTGGGTCTGTTGGTTGTTAGCGTTTGCCTCCCTGCAGACTCCTTAGGCCAGCAAGGAAGGTGCTCAGCTTCCCATGCCTCACTCACCCTTGACCCTCTGAAGTCTCTGCGTGAGAACAGGCCATAGCACAAAATACCAGCAGAGGCGGTGGTGGCCACACCTTTAATCCCAGCACTCGGGCGGCAGAGGCAGGCGGATCTCTTTACAAGACCAGCCTGGTCTCCAGAGTGAGTTCTAGGACATCCAGGGCTACACAGAGAAACCCTGTCTCGAAAACAAAAACAACAACAAAACCAGCAAAGAAACTGCAAAGTGGGAGAATGATAGAATAAGAGTCCTCTTGCTAAATGATAAAACTGCTCTTTAATTGTAGGACTCCTTGACATCAAAATTTATGGGTGCTCTGGCCTCTAACCAAAAATAAAAAAAAATGGTATGGTACTTGTGTTGAACCTACAGATTTCCCCCACGTACTGTTAATCATCCCAGAAACCTCTCTAATAATTACTTATAAGACCTAAAACAAAGCCAGATTGGTGTCGCCTGCCCATAATCCCAGCACTTGGGGAGGCTGAGGCAAAAGGACCAGGTTCAAGGCTGTCTCAAAAATCCAAAAGAAGGGGTTTGGAGAGGTGGCTCAGTGGTTAAGAGGGCTTACCACCTTGCCAAGGATCAAGGTTCAGTTCTCAGAAACCACGTTAGGTGACTCATAAGTGTCTGTAACTCCAGCCTCCAGGGATCAATGGCCTTTTTCTGGCCTCTTTGGGCAACTATTCTCATGTGTGAATATATCTGTATATATGTGTGTGTATGTAAAAAATCCTTTTTTCAATCCAAAAGAAAAAATGCTAGGACAGTGTAACAGTGGGTAGGTAATTATTCTACGGTATTGTCTCGGGGATAATAAGAAGTGTGTGCATACTTATGCAGCTGGTCTGGGTTTTTCCAAATGTCTTTAGTCCATGGTTGGTTGACTGTGCGGATGTGGTCACCACAGATAGGTTCTTCCCTCAGCCTGTAATTAGAGCCTTCCGCACTCTGCAAACAGGAGGGACCTGAGACACAGTTCACAGGACAAAGGGCTGTGGTCATGTTACTTTAGCCTAAGAGAGATGCCTGGGAGTGGGGGCAGGTAGAGACAGGTTGGCTGAGGACATTGTATTCGCCTAACAAAAGGATTTATTTGTTGGATGTGATTATGGCTGTGGCAAAGGTTGGTCGCCTCCCTCCTCTGCCCTCCTGCTTCCTGCAGGGACCCTGCATCATTCCTTGTGTCCTCTCAGGTGTGTTACACGTGTGAGAGAAGGACCTATGAATGATGAAGGTGGTGGCACCTTGTGGCCGTTCTGCCTTGTTCACAACACAGCATTTCTCAGAGATGTGTTTCTGCACACAAAATGTCCTGCTTCTTCTTTGAAGGCTGTATACCACGTCCTTGTGTGGCAGGGTGACTGGGCGGTCCACAGCCCTGTCCAGCAGCTCTACAGAGAGAGCTCTGGATTCTGGTGGTCAGAGCCATGCCAGGTTCACCACACAGGTGGGGAAATCCATGGCCACAGACTCATGTACGTTCACTTTCAGCCACGAGCCTCAGTTTGCTGTCAATGGAGGCCTTTGTATCTACACCCCAGCCAGCTCCACATGAGATTTAACCAGGTTGGGGTTTTTTCCCTCCCAGATAAGCTTTTTAGTGTGTGTGTGTATGTGTGTGTGTGTGTGTGTGTGTGTGTGTGTGTGTGTGTGTGTGTGTGTGTGTGTATTCATGTTTGTGTATGCACAAGTGTGTGCATGTGAAGGCCAGAGGACAACCTGGATGTATGTTATTCCTCAGGTGCTGCTCACATCTTTCTTTTGCAATAGTGTCTTTCACTAGCCTGGGGCTCACCAAATAGGCACCACTGTTTGCCAGAGAGCCCAGTGCTGGGCTTACATGTGTGCGTTTGAGGCAGGGTCTCTCAGTGAACCTGGAGCTCATGATCCGGGTTAACAGAACTACCCAGTAGTTCCAGGGACCCACCTGCTTCTGTCCCCCCAGCTCCGGAATTACCAGTGAATGTTGCCACACTTTATCTGTGCTTGTCCCCCCCCCCCCCCCCGCCCCCCACCCCTGTTAAACTCAAGTCCCTATAATTACAAGGCCATCGCTTTACCTGTTCAGCTGTCTCTCCAGCCCTGAATAAACATTTTACTTTAGAATAGCTTCAGATTTACAGAAAAGCTGCCAAATTAGTCCAGAAAGTTCCTGTGCACCCTTAGCGCACTTGACTACAGTAAGAGGCCGAGTGAATTGGAACAAATAGAAACATGTCTGCTTGGGTCAAGAGGCTGAACTACAAGATTCTGATTGGTGCCCAGTGAGGGAGGGTTTTCTTTGTTGTGCCCTCTCAGGGTCCCTGTGGGGACTGGGGGGTTATAAAATACATTCAGAACACAGTGTTCCGCTCCTGGCCCCTCACATGTCCCTGTCACATGTGAAATCCATTCCATT